CTTTTGTGTGAGTGTGTGTGTATATTATATATATGATAGTATATAGTGTATAGCACATGCTGCATAATTATACATATATCTTCACCTTGTTTAATTTTCTTAAAAGAATTTAATATTTAAGGTCTGTGACTATACTTAAACTTGATAAAGAACTTGCAGAATTGTTTTTGAAATGTGGGAATAAAGGTAATTTTGTTGAATCTTTATCAGTGCTGATGATGGACAGTTAAAAAGGTAGGTAGAGTTTATTGTTGTGGGCCAGTACTTATTAACACTTCCAAAACTGAATTTGAAATGCTATGTATTCACTTTTCAGTCCATAAATGTAAACCTTTATAATACCTGTATTAAATGTAGCCAGTTGTAATTTTTTAAAAAGAATTTACTGTATCTTAAAGTTCACTGATTATGTCATCCTTCAATGGAATGTATGCTCCCTGAGGTCAAGAACTTTGTCTTGCTTATCTTTATGTCCCCAGTGCCTAAACAGTGCCTAGCTCATAGTAAAGACTCAAAAATATTTACTGAAAAATGATAGAAACAATTTTTTGAGGCAAAGATCTTCATGTTGCTGTATAGTCCCATGTAATATTTGGGACATAATTGTACTAAAATATATTTTTCTTTTTACCTGAAATTCAAATGTAACTGAGCTACCTGATTTTTCTTTTTTTTTTTTTTCTGGCAACTCTACCTTCAGAACACACTTGGCAGTATCCGGAGAGTTTTTTGATTGTCCCACCTGGTTGGAGGGGGTGTAGAGGACAGGGGTGCTGCTAAACATTTTACACCGCATTGGCCAGTCCCTACAAGGCTAGGAATTACCGGGTCCAACATGTCAACAGTGTGGAAGCAGAGAAAGCCTGACCTAGATGGCCATGAATAAACTTTAAGGGTCTCTAACAGTCAGCGCCTAGAATCTCTAAATTCTTCCTTTTGGAAAGGCAGCATGGAGCTAGTGAGAGGAAAGTTTCTGGGGCTGGAGAGCGGGCTTTAAAACCCCATGCGCGCTTCCTGACGCTGAGGACCAGAGGGCAAGGAACCAGACTGTCCATTGCAGTAGGTGAAATGTCGCACTGTCCAGAAGATCGTGTGTGTAAGAAGGCACTGCGGATGGTAGAGCGCTCTGCACGCACTGGTTACCTGTGCCTTTAAATCCAATAAAGACAAACCCTCCGGTCCCGGGATTGGGAAGGCGTTTGGTGACACAGCGGAAGCTGCGAGGTGGCTCAGGCGTCCCGCGCCATAGCAACAGCGGTGAAATTGGCCGCCGCAGCCGCGCCTGCGCAGAGGGGTCCTGCTGACTGGGAGCTGGACGCCGCGGAAGAGCTGGGAGCGCGGCGGCGGCTGGCAGCCAGGCGCTAGGGTGGCGGATCGGCGGCCGGGGCCGGAATGGCGGTGCGGCTGGTTGCCTGCGGGAAAGCCGAGAATGCAGACCGGCTCCGGGGGGTGCTGCTGCCGAGGCTGCTGCTAGCGCTGCTGCTGGCGCGGCCGGCGTGGGCCCTGGTGGAGGGGCTGTACTGCGGCACGCGGGACTGCTACGAGGTGCTGGGCGTGAGCCGCACCGCCAGCAAGGCGGAGATCGCGCGGGCCTACCGCCAGCTGGCCCGGCGCTACCACCCCGACCGCTACCGGCCAGAGCCCGGCGACGAGGGTCCCGGGCGAACGCTGCAGAGCGCGGAGGAGGCCTTCCTGCTGGTGGCGACCGCCTACGAGACTCTCAAGGTGAGGCCTTGGGTCACCGGTGGGCTGCGGGGTCTCTTCGGGGAAGCGCACGGCCCCCGTGCTGACACCACCACGTGAGATCAGAAGCTCGCACTTTCCCACTGGGCCTGTGTAAGAGCCTACACGGCCCATTGACAAAGATAGAAACCCCCTCTGGCCTTAGGGGGACAGCCAGCCCCCGCCCCTTGGTGACAGTCTTTGCAGTGCAAGGAAGACAGAGCATGGGTTGGTCATCTTGCGATTTAGTGAAAGTAGTTTAATAATGTGCAGCTCCCATTCGGGAAGCAGAGTGATTATTATATGGTACCAGGATCTGCGATAGAAACACAGGAACGGTCTTTAATATTGACTGATAGTGTGATAGCGCCAGGTGGCCTGAGAGAAACTTGGTTAGTGGGGATGCTATTAATTGTGACATTTAGCTTGGGTTTAAGGATCTAAAGAAATCTGAGAAGAGCAATGAACACCACTGAGAAGACCACGTTTAACTCTTGGATCGGACGCTGTACATGACCTTGGATAGTGACTTACAGTGCTGGATGAGCTGTTTCTTCGTGTGTAAAATTAAGGCCGTGACGCCTCCTTACAGGGTTTTTATGAGGGTTAAACAAGTGTGAGAACCCCTCTGCACGGGGCCTATAAATAACTAGGTGCTTAATGACTTGGGGTTCAAGACCCGAAGAGTTTCAAGTAGGAAATATTTTGCATGTTTGCAGTCATTTGACAAAGGTTTTATTGAGCCCTGTGGGGATGGGGAGATTTAGCTCCATCCTGCTTTCTTCTGCTACTGCAGAAATCAAACCATGTAAGAAATCACAAAGTATAAACCATATTCAGTTGAAGTGTTTCTGCTTCAAAGGCCCCATCATTCTAATGTAAGGGCAGTTGTACTTGTATGGTCTTTCTTTTCTTCCTTTCTTGCCAGTTTTTCATGTTGCTATATAGTCTGCTTTCAGTGACTGCTTTGAGTGGGTATGCTTTAATTTTACCATGGATTCCTTTTCCAGATTTGCTTACTAGAGCTGAAAATACTGAATCAAAGAGTTAAAGGCTCTTCATTCATGCTTTCCACAGTGGTCTGAATAGTGTGGGGCCATAAAATGAGCATGCCTAGTTCACTAAATTTTCACTAGCATGGGTGGGGTTGTAGTTTTTTTGGCAATTAACTGAGGAATGGGGTAGGGGGGAGTGCTGGGACAGTGCTAAGGCCAGAGGGCTGAGTTTGCCTATTATTTAGGAGAAGGAGTAATTGAAGAAAGACTTCAAAATTGTAGGAAAGAACTTCTCCATCCAGAGCAACCATCATCTGAAGCCCCAGGCTGTGTTTTTCTGCAGTGGGGAAGGATAGTGGTCCAAACCAGCAACCGGAAAGGCTGCTGCTGGTCCTCCGAAGCCCTGGTGGCGTGTAAGAAAGCACTGGACAGGTGGAGGGCTTCCAGAGAAGGCAGCAGAAACCCTAGCGCCAGTGCCCTCTGCTGTGGTCGGAAAGTGGTAGGCTTGGCGTGAGAATGGTGAGCATGTTAGTAAAAGAACTACCAAGAAATAGGGACAGTAGAGAAATTCTTGGTGGAAGGAACCTCAAAACTCTAAATATACTTGCCGTTTTCTTGAAGAGACAAACTTAGAGGCTGATCTAGTGGATCTAAAATAGTTGCTTCTACAGGTTTCTACCCCTGAAGTTTAGCACTGAATGGTCGCCTAATAAAAAGTACTTTAAAATGATTTGTCCAGTCAAGAACAAGGACTTCTGGGGCCGTTAAACACTGGCAGGTCTGCAGAAAATAACACTTTTACTCCTGATTCCCACAGGAGTTTTGTGGTACCTCCAAACAGGACACTGCAGTTGGATCTGCGCTGAGGGAGGAGGGAGTGCTGGCGTGTCCTCTGGTTTCCCAGCCTCATTCTGTGTTACTGCAAGAGAATGGAAATTATCTGTGAGAGAAAAGGGTGTGTTGGGCTAGTCAGACCCTTGAATATCAGGCTCAGCCGAGCCCAGTGAAAAGCCCCATTTTGAATGTATAGAAATGGACATGGATTCCATTTCCATTTGGAACAGCTCAGGGAAACTTAAAAACAAAACAAAATCCCAAACAAAAATAAATAAACAAAAACTTCGGTGCAGATGCCGTCTCCTGGAACAAGGAAAAGGACTTTGACTTGCTGTGTGTTGAAGAAGTTATTAAAAACAAACAGGGTGGTCTGATAATTAGTTGTCATAATGGAAAATTGTGAGAATGTTGCCAGAGAGTATCATCTCTGGGTAACGCAAAGGCCCAGTGAACAGGGGCATTCAGTTTGGATGGCCTCAGCCTTCCGCATTACTCCCTAGAGGCCGTGGGGCTGTAACTGTTTTGCGTGGATTCTGTGGGCAGGCTGGGAACAGAGCTTGTGAGTGCTAAGAGGGCCACAGGGCCTTTGTTAAGAGCAGGTCAGATAGGAGAGTGGGAGGAGGTGCCGTCCAGTGGCCCTGGAAAAAGGCAAGTTGCAGAAGTTCCACGTATCTAGAATTCCGCATATCGTCTCCTGGAGGCAGCAGCTGCACACCTGGGACCACATTCCATCTGCTCGCCATTTTTGTTACACTCTGCCTCTCTCCCCATAAGGAATAACAGTAAACCCTGTGAGAGGTGTTCTTATGTCCCAGTCAGTCAGCAAGGAGGGGAGGGAGCTGGGAAGACTGTCCTTTGCAACCCCGGTTAGTCGTTGCTGGAATATATATGCTGGAAAAAGTAGATTTTATATTTGCTTTGCAGCGGGCAGAGGTAAATTTCACCTCTGGGACAGGGTACCTACCAGAAGTCGTTTCTCTGGTGAAGTGTGAAATAATTTAGCTGCAACGGCCCTGGAGCTGGGAATCTTTTTTCCCCCTGTAATTTTCTCATACCTTCTTCATTTCTCTTCTTATTGGTCTGTTTCAGTTTCTTTTATTATCATGTTATTTAATTTGTCAGTTATGGGTTCTGTGCAGTTTTATTCTGTATTAGTTTCAGGTGTATTGCATAATGGTTCGAGTGAATCTCTTCGTATTTTTAATGTAGAAGATGGTATATACTCATTATAACCTAACGGTGGTGTCACATCAAAGCTTCTAGTAACCAAAGATCTCTGAATGTCGATAGTGAATAAATACATCACCAAGTGGGAATATATTTGTGTAAGATTTAGTGGGTTTATGATTCTAATGTTGTCTTGGCCAAATAAATACCTCTTTTTTTTAGATGGTGGTTGTTAAAAATAAGTACACCAATGTGATTTCAATACATTTTTTAAGACAAGGAGATATCACACTTAGCATTTTTTCCCTGGAGCTTCAAATTTATTATAAGATTTGGAAGAACCAAATACTTTAATAAGAACCCCCACAAACGTGAGAGAAAAGAAGAGCAGCGTAGGGGAGAAGGGCCCCCAGGAAAAACAGTTCAGTCTCTGAAGTTTCATTCAAGTGGGGGCTGAGGGGTGGACCTGCAGTGAGGGGGGCCTATCCTCTGAGCCAGCCCCCCAGCCCCCAACCCGCCTGGGGGGCTACAGGCCACTTTCGGAACTAAGCGGTTTCACCTCTCCATTGTCCACTGGATCAAGTCCTCCCCCTGAGAGGTGCGCATGCCCCTACTGCGCTTGCACCCAGCCTCTGGCTGACCCCTGCACCCCAGTGGCTGGCCGCCCTGGTGCGCAGTGCCTTCTCGTTGGGTGTAAAATGCAGGGGCTGTGGCTTGAGCCAGAGTCTTGACTGTGGTCCTGCCTTGGTTCTCCACAATTTTAAAAATTATATTGGTTTCACTTCTGCTTCTGTTAGTGGACAGCCTACAGCACGTACGTCTTAATGGGAAACAGAAGAACCTCCTAGTTACCGCCCCCTGCTGGCCATGCCTGTGGCCAGAGGGAGAGGCTGGGCTCCCACCATCAGGCTGCCCAACATGAAAAGAGTTTTTGGTGTTGGTTCCCCGTGGAGGGCCGCCACTGCGGGGGCCCGCCGCTGCTGCTGTAGGTGGAGGGGCAGCCCACCCCGGGCCTCGCTGGGGCCCGGGGATGGAAGGCTGGGTTGGGGATGGAGGTCCTCGACTCCAGGTTGGCCAGGGGGAATAGCCGGCTCTTTGGTCTTCTGCCATCAGGGCAGAACCTCTCAGGCTTGGGGCAGGGTCTTACTCTGATGGTGTGCTCTTTACCTTGGTTTTCAGGGACTTAGGATCAAGCATGTACCCATTGCTTTGTTGTACTTTCTTTCTGTTACTTATTCCTGGATCTTGTCTCATTCAAATCCCAGGTTCTTTATTATCTCTGTCACTGGGCGATCCGTGTTGTCCTGGGGGCTCCCTGTAAGGCCTGAGCACCTCCTCCTGGCCCGGGTTGAGCTCTGGGTCCTTCGTAACATATTCCAGTGTTGTTCTATTGCCGGGTTCCAAGGGTCATTAATTTTTTAAAAACTTTTTGACATTCTGTAGACATAAAGTATCGGTACATGGAAGTGTCCACTCCGCATCCGATGCTTCATCTCAAAAGTGCTCCCCCACAAACAGCAGGGTCCCCGCACAGAACTACCCCCAGGCTCCATACGTCAACCCCGGGGCTACGGTACGTTTGGCGGCAGAAGGGCTCCGGGGCGACATAAGAGAGGATGCCACAGGACGCTCACGGCCAATGAATTCACTACTGAGGCCGAAGGCTGCCAGTCTGCCAGTCGGCTCAGCATCTCTGAGGATGTTGTCTGGCTGCAGGCCCCTGTGGATGATGTCCCTCTGGTGGCGGTGCTGTACCGCTGACACAGAACAGGGCTCCGGCCTGCTCCCCAGTCGTGCGGCCCTCCAGGTAACCAAGCCAGTGTCAGAAAAGAGTAATGTTTCCCGGTGTCAGTCTCCTCAAATAACTGTTACCGGTGATTCAAGCCCTTCATGTAGTGGGCTTCTTGAAAAAGTATAGGGGAGCCCCACCAATTAATGACTTTGACAGCCACCTCTGTCCCCATCAGAATGTGCTGGGCCACCCTTGCATTGACAAAGGTTCCCTGGCCAGTGGTTTTCAGGAGCTCATAAAGGCCAACATGGGGCCCTTTGTTGGCAGGGATGGCTGCAAGGTCATTGGACATGGCGACTTGCCGACCATACCGACAACACTGTCGATGCTAACTGTGCTTACTAACTTTGCTAACAGCACTAACTGTTCTATGGTAACATACTAACTGTGCTAATAAACAATGCTAACTATAGCAACTCCACTCATATTAACTATATTCACTGTACTAACAATGCTAACGAACAGTACTAATAAACAATGCTAATTAACTAAAAAAAATCTAAAGAAAAAAATGGGGAAAAGAACAAATTAAAAAAAAAATTAAATGAGAAGAGAAGAAGACAATTGAGAAAAAGAACATTAAACAGTGGGAAACCCCCCACGTGGGCTGCCATGAAGGACAGCAGTGCAGGTGGCTTCACTGACACAGCCCGGCTGTGGGTGGCCCTGGAGCAGCCGCTTCTCCGGCGGAACGGCTGGGCTCTGCTGGCTCTGGCTGGTGGCCGCGGGACCTGTCCAGGGCCACATCGTCGTGTCTCAGCTCCAGCAGGGGACTCGGAGTTGCCAGCCTTCGGTGAAAAGGGAAAGTGCACCCTTAGTCATTGTTGTTTCAGCAGCAGGGAGTCTGTCTGTGCAGAGCGAGGTCCAGGAAATGCCCCTCCCCCACCCCCACCCCCCACCCCCGAGAGAAAAGAAGGGTGGTAGTACTGGAAGGTGAAGGCATTGGTCGGGCTCCTGACACACCCCCCCACACCCCCGTCGTTGGCGCAGGTTCATATTCTCAAATAACATTCCAGTTTTGTTTCCTACAGACGAGTGAAATCATACAGTTCTTAACTTTCTCTGTCCAACGTGAAACCTCTTTAATCTTATTAACCATTGTCACCCCCATCAATTTAATTTTTAAAAATAAAAATGAAGAGTTCCAGATCTCAGCAGGGCTCCAGACAATTCCGGATTTCACACACCGTTTTGTATTTGCTTCGTAACATGAGTGAGGCCAGTGAAACGGTAGTTAGCATTTTTGACTCCTGGGGGTTTAGGGAATCGTGGACTTTGGAAGTTAGGTAAGCAGACCATCGCTCACTATGTCAACATTGGGTCTTTTCACATGGATATGGCACTTATCACACTGCACTGTGAACACTGAGTTCCCCGCTCCACCGAGCCTTGCTCCCCAGTTCTCTCCTACGTGTATCTGTGGCACCTAGCACGGTGTCTGGCACACCGGATGATGAGTGTCCGTTAGGGAAAAACTCATGTCTGAGATAAACGCCGGTAGACTGGAACTCGGAAGTGGATTTCTGCAGTTGCTGACAGTGGTGTGGGGAGCTTGCGTCAGCATTTTACCCCGAAGTGATGATAGTCTGAAAGAGTGGCACAGCTGAGGTTGATTGGTCGGAAATGAATGAAAAATTCCTGGATGAAAGAAAAAGAAAATGCACTTCTACTTTTAAGGAGAAATCGTGTTCTGAAAGTTTTAGAGTCCGAACAAGAATTTTTGAATATAGATAGGAATTGGCTAAAATAGATAAAATGAGAAAGATGGCATAAAAAATAAGCCGAGGAGGGAACCCGCGGAAAGGGTGCATTTGGAAACGCCGTGACTGGTGGAAGACGGGAAGACGCAGAATCGGACCGCATGTTGCAAGACTGCAAGAGGAGAGCATAGAAAAGGGGCCTGGTCGGTCAGCGCTGTGCAGACAGAGCCTCTGCTCCTCCGGCCTGGTCTCGGCAGGGACGTCACAAGAGCCCTTCGGTTTCCTTCCCTCGGTCTGACCGCTGGCAGGGCACTGGCGCTTAGGCGAAACTCGGCAAAAGTGGGGATTGGGAACTGCCTGCCCCTCTATGTCACTGCGTTCTGGTTTTCTTTAGTACCTTCTCTTTCCCCTTTCTGTATGTAACCAGTACGGAGACATAGGTGCTGGGGAGGAGACCACAGCAGGGGTCTCCTGTGCACGGGGCTGTTCCTGCTGTTAAGCTTTTAACATAACAAGGAGACAGAGAGTTATTGTTTGGTTGTTCATTTAAGTTGCATGATAAAAAGGTGCATACATGATACTGCAGCAGCGAGAGCAGGACGGAATATAATTATTTCTTCTTTGGGGCTTGGAGTAGGATATACCCTTTGATCTGGATCTTGGATAGTCACCGAGGTGGGTGGGGAAGGGACCAATGGGGTCGGGGCAGAGCCTGACCAACAAAAACACGGAGTCGCCAGTGTGCAGGGCTGGTCCAGGGGGGAGGTGTGGTTTGGTGAGCTTTTTCTCTACTAAGGATCACTTTTTTGAAAAAGATTTTATTTATTTTGAGAGAGAGGGCAAGGGAGGGAGAAAGAGAGGGAGAGAAACATCAATATGTGGTTGCCTCTCTTGGGCCCACTACAGGGGACCCGGCCTGCAACCCAGGCATGTGCCCTGATTAGAAATCGAACCAGCCGCCTTTTGGTTCTCAAGCCAGCACTCAGCCACAGAGCCACACCAGCCAGGGCCCAAGGATCACTTTTATTATTTGATTCCCCGGGCCTCTTTGTTTTTAGGGGGAAAAATTTGATAGCACCTATTAGTATTGCTGCTTTTCTTTCCCAGCATCAATCCAGATCGAGGTAAATTTTTATGACAGTTGTGATGCCGATAAACAGCCAAATTAAGTAAGCTTGAGAGCAGATAGTCTTTATTTCACATGCCAACTTTGATTGGTCATGACCCTGACCCACCTGTAAACATTCTGAGGCCTTGTCTGGATTCGGTGGGAAAGATGACAGGTTTGAGAGTGATCTCTCCCATGGGCCCAGAGCGGGGCGGGACCTTGCGTGCCCCATTTGCCGTTTCTGCTGTGATCCCTTAAGTGTTGTTTATTTTTTACCGATCCCTAATTTTCAGCTCTTACACCCTATTTATGGCCAAGGTTGATTACACACCAGAGGTATTTAATTCTAGTGCTGTGACCACCTGACATGTGATGTTACCAACCGCCAATCAGAGTTGATATTATTCCAGCCAGAAACTGAGCGCTTGACGTTTTAACTTAGCTCATGCAAATTTATCTTGGGTAAATGGAATATTTTGAGATATTCATATGACAAAGACCCTTGTGGCATTTTTTCATGGACTTTAGGGATCTACTACTTGTAGGTAAGAAGCCTGTCCGGTGATTCACAGGGAGAATGAATGTTTCAGGAGGCTGAAACTTAGTTCGGGGACCCATGAAGAACTGCCCTTTAAGCTGAGTTCAAGAGTATGAACTTTATGTATTGAACAGTTACCAGAGGTTTCAAAGTAGAGAAGTAACACAAATCTGCTGTTTGATTCAGAAGGAATATTCTAGAACGATATGGAGGATGGCTGGGGAAGGCAGAGAGGTATTGGCGACTGAACTGATTTTATCTCCACCATCATCTTCTGGAATCTCATCACTCCTCTTTGGTAACTTTAAGAATCTCTTGGTTGTTTGTTTCGCATTTCCTTCACTTAATTTTTCTTTTTTCTGTTAAAGCTGTGGTCCCAACATCCCTCTTTTTCTGCTCTTCTCTTTTTCTGCCGCTGACTGTCTGTGCTCATCTCCCTTTCATTCACGCTGTCGGAGACTGGTGTGGACGTCAGCACACGCACCGGGACTGTTCTTAGGTGAACTTGGCACTCTCCGCTTCAGATCTGAGGGCTCGTCATTCTTCTCCCTGGAACTTTTTGTGGCATTTGATAGTGTTGACCGTGTAGTTCTTTAAGATGCTCTCCCTTGACTTCTTGCTGTAATTCTCTCCCGTTTCTCCTATCTTTCTAGTCATTTCTTTTCAGGCTCCAGAGTCTTCTTTCCCTGCGCCTATACCTTAAACATTGCTTTTCCTTAGAGTTCTGTTCTTTTAGTACTCTTCTTTTTTTTTTTTTAAATTTCTGAGCTTTTCCTGATGAAATTCAACTAAATCCTTGACAGCGCTAAAATCTGTGTGTTCTCTAAGTTCATATTTTCAATAGCCTTTCATCTGTAGCACAGGCACCCAAAATTAAACATGTCTGAAACCGTCTCTTTAATCTTTGCTAAAGTATAAGTTTTAAAAGCAGATGGTGTTGGGAGCTGCCCTCTGTGGTTCCAGAAGCTGTAACCCCACTCCCCATGGCTAAGGCTGAGTAAGAGACCCTGAGACTGTAGGTCACTAAAGAGACAAAGCTTATCTCCCTGGCAGGGCCACTGCCTCTGCCCCCTTTACTTCACCCTGCCTGGCCCCAGGGCAAGATGACTGGAGCAGTTAGCCAATGGCAGTTAAGATTCCTCAAGGGAGGGACCACCTAAGACAGGCACAGTCAGGATGGGACCCTCAGAGAAGGGCTTGGGGGACTATAGAAAAAGGGGGTGATGGACCCTCACCCCTCGGCTTTGACATAGCCTGAGTCCTCATTCTGCCTGTGAGAAGTCTCCTAATTTCTTGTCTGCCTTACTTCCCCTGCCTGACTGAGGCCTGAAACCATGCCAGAGGTGGGTGCGGCCCTGGGCAGGAATGGGGAGTTCCCCGTGGCAATCAGGCCTTTAAAAGAATGCATAAAATCTTGTGAAGCCTGCTTTGCTAAGAATGTCCTCAATTTTCTGATAAGGGTCCAAGCATGAAATGAGTTTGTTTCCCAAAGTTTCAAGGTCCTTTAGCTAACTGACCCTGACTCAGAATAAGCCCTCATAGTTCTTTGAATTTTTTGAATTCTATCCATTCTTTGATCCTTACTGCCTGACCATGATGAATGAAGACCTTTCTTGAGGTCAGCTCCCAGAAGAGCAATAAAAGCCTGTCCAGGCAGGGGTCAAGGTGCTCTCCTACTCAGAGAGTGGCCGTGCTGTCCCTTTCTCCACTGGACTCCTGCAGTCCGTGTGAATTTGTTCGTTGCATCCACAACACCTGGATACTGCTGGTCGGAGTCCACATCCCATATAATCATGACTCTCAAACAAATACAAAATGAACAAGTACCAGAGATTTTATTTAACTCATGAATTAACGCAGGGACCAGTAAGATATTAAAACTGGTTCAAAAGAGAAAAAAAGCCACTCGTGTATAGTCAGACGAGGGATGCTGACCTGCCTGTGAAATGGGTCAGTGTGACAAGGCAGTAATCAGCTGCATTACGTGACACAATTGGTCTTTCTGCGACCAAGAATCATTTGTGTCGCTTCCAGGTTTCTACAAGTTACTTCTGTCTCTACAAAGGTAAAATTGGCTTTTCAAAGACAAAGGCATATCCCTCCTGCAGGAGCAGATAGTCCTCGGAGTCCCCAGGGATTGAAAAGACGTACTGTAATTACTTTTTCTCCCCATTTCAGAAATTTCCAGTCTTCCCTTGCATCTTCTCCAAATTTACTGTCTTTGTCCTCTGTTCCTTATCTTATAGCAACAAGGTCCACACGGTAACTGTAATTAAAACTTCACCGCCATGGTCAACGTGATTGACTCTTGTACTCTAATCACTCAGCCCCATTCATTCTACCTCTTAGCCTCTAAAATCTGTTTCTCCCTCATTCCATTCCTTACAGGACTACCATCATTGTTTTTCCAAAATACATACTTCTACTCAATGCCGTTGCTCT